GAGAGAGAGAGAGAGAGAGAGAGGGAGGGAGGGAGGGAGGGAGGAGGGAGGGAGAGAGAGAGAGGACAGACAGACAGAGAGGGAGAGAGAGACACACAGAGAGACAGAGAGAGAGATTGAGTGAGGGCGGAAAGATAAAGGGCCTGGGTAGCTATGGCAAATATGGGCGCAAGTAGCTACCCAGGCCAGCGGAACAAAAGTTGACAAAGGGAGACAAAAGGTGAGTACGAGGGCGCATGCAGGCCAGCTTGGAAAAGGTTGTACAACGTACGTGAGGAGGTACCTAACACTATCATAACTGAACAGAAACTGCTAGAAGTACATGACGATGGTACTGTGATTTTGATCCCGAATCCACCAGGGTACTCACATGGACAAGTACCGTAAAAGTCCGTAAATACGTACCTGGCCGAGAGAAATACCCCCTTCATTCTTTTGGCTCTGTCTGTTGAAGTCAAGTCAAGCCCGATAAACATACTGCCCGAAATAAGTACTGGTACGGTGCGCACATGCAGCACGTAGCATGTACATCGACATGAAAATGACTTTTCCACTACACACAAGTCAGGTCCGAAAGTTAGTTCGTGCCCGAAAGTCAGTACCCGCCCGAAAGTTAGTACGGGTGTGGTCACTAAATTCGAAAGTAAATACGTACTTATTTACGGACTTTTACGGTACTTGAGCAAACAAAAACACCAAACTTGCACATTGGCTTGATTACCAGCCCGGGGAGGGGGCACTATTCAAGAGGGGGCTTTATAATATTCATTGGCTCTCATAGACTTGGGCACTATTCAAGAGAGGCGGCTTTATTTTTCAGTGGCCCTCAGACAGGAGCACTATTCGAGAGAGGGTACTATTCAAGGGAGTGCTCTAATCACGCGAGTACAGTAACTGCCAGCCAGATTTAGCACATCTCGGAGGTGCACTCCAATGGCCTTCCAACGTGGAAGGTTCGAAGTAACAGTAATAAAATTAATAACAACTGCCTTTAAAATATTAGACCGGCTTCGCTTACATGTGGATACAGTCATGAGGGTGCATTTGCTACTGTTCACAGCAGTATTCAAATTATTGTCTCACGCCGATTATTAATTTCTTTCCTATAAATGAACCCTTGGCTTTCCATCCGAGTTGATGTACTTCAAAGTAAGAGAAGAAAAACATCATGGTTCGCGTGAGACTCGGCTGGAAGCCAAGTTTTCCGCATTCGTAGGAACGCCACCACCCCCTAGCACCAAGGCGCAGATCCAGCTCCTAAGCGGTGGGGTAAGTAGATCAGACCCACCACAAAGTGGTCAAAGACCGAAATACCATTCAATGCATCCACGAGAATTAAGCACACGACTAAAATAAAGAAGCCAAAATGCAGCCCGATCACCCTGCAGTGAACCAAACTGGTAGAATTCTACTGAAGTGGAGTTTGACGAAAATAATCATTTCCCAGCATGCACAAAACTTACCTTTGCCGGATGACACTGTCGTTCTCTGCGTCATCAGCAAATCAGGCACAGCACTGGCTGACCCGTCCCAGCGTCTGCGTTTTGCCCTGCTCCCATCCACGCCTGGTATGGTTGGAAACCCTCGCAGTTGCTCCATCTCCTTAGTCACTTCCTCGCACTTCATATCAAGCTGCCCAGGATTCGCAGTAAAACTAGCCCATCCATGGTGCCCGTCTGTCAGAAAAGGGAGCACAGACAAACACGTACACACACACACACAAACAAACAAACACACACACACACACACACACAAACAAACACACACACACAGACGCACGCACAAACACACACAGACGTGCGCACATGCACGCAAGCACACACATAGGCGCACACACACACATGCACGTACACACTCACGCTCGTGCATACACACACACACACACACACACACACACACACACACACACACACACACACACACAGAAACACTCGCACGTTTAGTTGCAGGGGAACGTCTAAAGAAATCGTCCCGTCAGACAGCTGAGCTTGAGTGCCACGACAGTGTCACATGCATAGCACAGACTCTTTGTTTCAGGCGCTTATGATTACGACAACCATCAAGAGAGCTGCTTCGCAACAACTTGACTTTAGTGACGTCTGAAAGTCATTTTGACTGGCCAATGCTGCTATGTTATTGAGGCAATGCTCTGGCGTACGGGTTGATAAAGACCTCTGCCTTCCCCCTGAAACTATAGAAGGGGAGTTGATGTATAATAAATGAACTGCCACCTACCATGCTGGTTTCTGGCTGGACCAGATGGTGGTTCAGTTGCAGCTAGCGGGTGCGGGATACGAGGTGGGAGACAGCTTCGATATGCACCAGGCGACGCCAAATCGATGAAATCATCAGGCCACGTTGTATTAGCCGTCCCTTGCACTGATACCTCACCAGCACCAGCACCAAAGCCACCACCAGCACAGTCACCAGCAGCAACACTAGCATCCCCAGCAACAGCAGCATAACCGGTGAAAAGGCGGCCACCAGCACCTGCATGATCATCAATAACAGCACCAGCACCACTCCCACCAGTAGCAGCAGCAGCAGCAGCAGCAGCAGCAGCAGCAGCAGCAGCAGCAGCAGCAGCAGCAGCAGCAGCACAAGCACCACCAGTAGGATCGCCACCAGCATAATCACCAATATCACCTGTGCTGGCAGGCTGCAGACACCCTTGACCTGCATTGCACAGACCTGCCACAGCGTGAGCCCTGCGTACTTCATCCATTGCTGCTAAAGAACGCTGGGGTTCTTGTCCAGCAAAGCCATTGCCTTCATCCAGTTTATCTGGAAAGATGCTTGGCTGCAGGACCACCTAAATCACACCCAAATCACGAACAAGCGAAGAAGAAAAGAAAAGACAGCAATGATGCAGGTACTACAGCTGACAAGAAATCACCACTGCCTGGCAAATACAAAGCCAGGGGAAACCACCACTGCCTGGTTAATACAAAGCCAGAGGAAATCATCATTATCAGCCTATATAGGCTCCATTGGGAGCCTGCTGGAGGAGACTTCTGCTCCACCATCCAACCAGGACTGAAAAGCAATCCTGTTGATATCACAAGCGCATTATCAGTAAGAATTCCGTGCCTAAGTAAATTGCTCCTGCAGACAAAGTGGTTGCTTGAACCAGGAGCAGATTTCTCTCTCTCTCTCTCTCTCTCTCTCTCTCTCTCTCTCTCTCTCTCTCTCTCTCTCTCTCTCTCTCTCTCTCTCTCTCTCTCTCTCTCTCTCTCAAGCAATCACTTTGTCTGCAGGAGCAATTTTCTTCGGCACGGAACACGTCTTCACTGTGCAAGGTCAACATGGCATCACAGAAGCAGAATGTGAAAGAACACGTGCATTCAAACATCATTACCTACATCATAGAGCTACTCACTACGGATAAAGATGATCAGAACAGGTCATGACATTACCTGACACCCTTCGGCTTTTAACTCCGCTTCTTGTGGGATCAGTAAGCCAAGCACCTCTTCTAAGTATTCGGGTAATGGCCATCCATCATCGCCCACAGGAATGCGATTGACGGACGAAGAAGTTGGCGAATGGAAAGGGCTAATGAACAGTTGCTGGGCCGAGCACGATTCAGACGGAGGCGAAATGCTGCCATCGAGCAACGACGCAAAGTCCAAACCGCCAGACAAGGCGGGCAGGTGAGCATGTTCCTGACGAGTTCCGCTGCTAGCGCAGCCGGCGGTTTGACTTTGCCGCTGAGCTCTGCTGCTGCTATGGCCAATGTCGTAGACAGGATGCATAGAAGTTTTACTGCTGAGATCAGGCAATACTTCCGCAGAGGTCTCGGAGTCTATGTCCAAGCTGTGAGTGTGATCACTCTGACCCTGGCCTTGTTTTAGTGGGCCAGCACCGATTGAATGATAAGGAATGTTGGCCAAACTCGGTGCACTAGCTCCATCAGCGCTAGTGGCGGCAGCGCTGGTAAGGGCAGGTCTGGTCACGGCTGGAACGGAGGCCGTGTGAACAGTCGTAGAGGCAGCATTCCTTGCAACAGAGCTTGTGGCGGCCAAGTCAGTGGCGATAGGGCAGGTTGCGGCGTCTCTGACAGTGCCGGAGCTCGTACCGGCAAGGCTGTCATGGGTGATGGCTGTGTTGTTGGACGTGAGATCCTGTCCTCTGCTGCTGCGAATGACACCCTGCCCTGTGCTGCTCGAAGTGACGCCTTGCCTTGTGCTGCTCGAAGTGACGCCCTGCCTTCCGCTACTTGGATTGGTGCTGCTGTTGTAACTGCTAATACCAGGGACGGAGGCGGCCAAAGAGACAAAGTCCTGTACAAAGATACGTGCACACAGGACACATGTGCACACACGCATGCATGTATGCACATACGCACGCGCACACACACACACACACACACACACACACACAAACACACACGCGCACGCGCGTACTTGCTCCCAGCCAAAACTGGTCACGTGGGTATAGGTCAGTGATAAATCCAATCTCATGAAAGCCTACAGCGGATGCTACAAAAACCCAAAAGCGGTGCCGTGTTCTCGCAAGTTTATTCATGATGTCAAACTTCGTTAGTGAGTACTGTACCTTAAACACTCCCCCCTTCTTCTGGACGTTGGCGGGTTTCTGGCTGTTCTCTTCCGTGTCCTCATCTTGTGAAGTGAGAGAATTAGCCGACGATGCCATCCCGCTGTCTTTACCGGCGCTGCTGCTCTGTCTGATGCCAGCAGTTGCCCTACGGCTGTTGCCAGTGGCAGCCACGCTGCCTCGCACTCCTGAACTCTTGCTGGTGGCTACGTGACCGGTGGATTGGGATGCGGTGGCACCGGTGGAGACGGAACCTTCACCCGTTGCCATGGCGGCGGCTACTTGTAACATCACGTGTGCGGCATCGGCGCCATCAATGTGAAGTGCATGTGGATGCTGGATCACCTGGGCATGCACAAGGACATAGGGATATTCAGAATGATTTGCACAGATACCCATCGCCCCCCCCCCCCCCCCCCCCCCATCCCCAAAGGTTGATCAGTGCTACACGTTCTATTCGGCAAGAACTCTTTCTAACTCTCTATATCTATCTACAGTCAACTTCGCGTATAACGACACTCGGTGAGGCGTCAGAAAAGTGTCCTTATTCGCGAAGTGTTGTTATACCCGAAGTCCCATTATATGTATTCCAGTTGGATGTGACTTTGCTCAGGGCATGGAAATTCTGTCGTTATTCGCGAATTGTCGTTATATCCGCAGTCGTTATTAGCGAAGTTGACTGTATGTATGTATCCCTGCACCTTGAATCATTTACTTGCTGAACAGCACCAATCTCTCACAAAAACCGTTTACCATCGTCCCTCTGGAATTGCATGCTTGACTGGAGTGTGTGTGTGTGTGTGTGTGTGTGTGCGTGTGTGGTGTGTGTGCTGTGTGTGGTGTGTGTGGTGTGTGTGTGTGTGTGTGTGTGTGTGTGTGCATGCGTGCGTGCGTGTGCACGCGCAGCAGAGTAATAAAAAACCGTCGCTGACAGAAACTCGCTGCACGTATGCAACTCCCCCACATGATCTTGGCAGATATTCGGATTGCGCGCATGCTATTCTTCGTTTGTACTTAGTACGAAACGTACCTGAGACACGTGATGTGAGTCTTCGCCGTCGGAGATCCCACCCCAGATGCAGAGTTGCACACTCTTTCTTGTTATTTACTCTTGATATTACCCCTACCCTCCCTCCCCCCGCCCCCCCCCCCCCCTCCCCTTGCAATGTACAGTCATACTCAATGAAATCCAGTCACGTCATTCAAGTTTGCACCATGCATCATTTCGCAGCCCAGGGTTCGCAGGTCTACAGTCCATTAAGAAAAAGATGATATCCTAGCTTTCGGCCATAAATGGGTCAAATTTTGAGCTTTTGCCACAATTTTTTGGCAATCCCCCATGGAATGCTCTTCCAATTGTGTTTTTGAAGTATACTGAGTAAGGCCAGAACGCTGCACCACAGCCTTTTTGGACCAAAACCTGTCGACTCAGCGTCCAAAAGACTACAACATATGGGCCAATCGTGGTCGTGCGTGCTTTTATAAGAACGAAATGGCGCTTTTAGTGATATTTTGCATTAAGAAAACCATCTAGTAGGGCGCAGTCGCCCAGTTACGGTAGAAGTTCGCGAGTTCGATTGGGAATCAAGGAGGAAGGGAGCGTCTCAGCTTCCTCGGACCAAGACCATTTGACTCAGCACCCCGAAGACTACAATTGGTGAAAATTTGATTTTAGGCTTAACTTGAATAACTTCCTCTTTAAACTAACCTGAACATGCTGCTCCACTTCTGCTACTGGGACCTCCGCTGCTACTGCCAGTACTGGGACCTCCGCTGCTACTGGGACCTCCGCTGCTACATTGTTCAACGCAGGAAGCTCCGCTAGACCAGTAGCCAGTGCGTCACGAGCTACAAACCTTGTAGGTACGGCGTCCTGTGAGCTTGTGCCATTCTCGAAATGCTCGCTGCAGATTCTGATGTGCTCAGCCGTAAAATTCCGGTTCGGCACAATTTTGTTCAGAACGCGGAGCCAAGCCTCGCGCGTATGAGCGGGTTTCTTTGGTACTCGATGGAATACGACGCCACGAGCAGCAGCGACCTTTGTCTCGCTCTTCCCGTTGTTCTGGCAGCTGGGGATACTGCATCCATTCGTCATAGTCACTGCGACTTTTCGCCTTTGGCTACACGTTCTCTTATTCTAGACGACGTTCAGCATAGGGTCTAAGCATCCTCAATATCACCGTCTTCAGGTCACGGAGAGCCGACCCAACGGCAATGCGCTGTCCACGCGCCCGACAACAGCGGACGATGATTGCAGTCAGTTTGAAACCAGTAGTGCGCTTCAGCTCTGATCCTATTTGCACTGACCAGAGATACAGGGATACAGGGCAGAAAGGTACGGAAACAGTATACGCGTACCTCACACCTACCAAAGCCTCAAAGAAATGTTATCAATTATTTTATAACAACTAGCTGCACACTTGCTCCTCCAAAAGGCAGCGCATTTCGTCCAGAATTTTCTTGATATACAGTCGACCTACCCTTATAACGATATTTGCGTCAGACCAAGAAATATTGTTATAAGGGTAATATTGTTATAGGGGTAACTGGTTCATTTCATACACATACGTCATAATGCATGGATTTTGTTCATTTTTTACACTCTTCCTAGCATAAAAAACTGACATACATGTACATGCACATTATGTACACAGCAAAGTGCCCGCTGGTGCCCCCATTGCATGTCGTCATGTCCCAGCGACTTATCAAGTGAAGCTTGCCCTACCTGGATAGTAGGCTCTACATCTTTCCTGCTAGATCTTTACTTATAAAAGAGAGGCACCTGTGACGTGTGTCTGTGTGTGTGTGTGTGTGTGTGTGTCACGCTCCTTATAAAGAAGAGGCACCTGTGACGTGTGTTTTTGTGTCACGCAGCCTGAACCGCTGCGGAGCAGCGCTGCCCTAGGCCCTGCGCACGCGAAGCGTGCGAACAGTGTAGCACAGTGTATAGCTAGCTAGCGGCCGCAGAAGCACTGAGCACGCGAAGCGTGCGAATCGTGTAGCTAGCGGAAGCAGCTAGCCACAGAAGCACTGAGCACGCGAAGCGTTCGAATCGTGTAGCCACCACCAAGTGCTGAGCACGCGAAGCGCTAGCGTGCGAACAGTGTAGGCACGGTGGTAGCGCATACTTAGCAGACACGATCAGTACGAGTAGCAGTAGCAGCCGCGCGCGCGCAGAAGCACTGAGCACGCGAAGCGTGCGAATCATGTAGCCACCTAGCCTAGGGGGCATATGTACAATGTAGCACTAGCAGCCGCACAAGCGCTGCGGACCACGTGAACCGTTCTCTGCAAATAGAAACATCTGCATGCAGCTGCAACAAAAGGATACAAAAGATCTGCACTGACTGCACTCTGCATCTGATCTGCAGTGAAGAGCGCATCGCACTTTTGTTCGTAAGTTTATGAATTTTTTGAGCCGCTTCATCCGCCACCAGGTGATGGACAACCCTGACCAGCCTCCCGAAGGCGTAACAGACGTCCCTCCTTCTCCTTCCAACGATGAAGAACCTCCCTCACCAGGACTTCAGCGGTCTGGCCACCACCACGTGCTGAGCACGTGTGTTGTTCATGTACTTGCTGCACCCGCATGCCACATAATAGTCATTCGGCCAGGCAACGCTGGCGGGGGTGCTGCTAGTATTGTTATAAAATGGAAAATGTTGATTGGTCAGCCCATTTTATATCGTTATAGGGGTAATATCGTTATAGCAATTATTGTTATAGAGGTAAGCCATGGTATACAAAAGTCAATGGAGTGATTTGGTTTGGCAGAAAAATATCGTTATAAGGGTAATATCGTTATAGAGGTTATCGTTATAAGGGTAGGTCGACTGTACTTCTCTCCGTACTAACTGCGACACGAAGTGAGGGCTGGAGGCCGAAGTGAAGGTCGTCGGCTCGCGGCAATGGCCTAGATCAACACAACGACTGTCTAGTCTTGGCCTCCAGCTAGCTAGCTCCCAACACAAGGCCATGGACTTCACTTGCACGTGGTGCAGCATTGCGTGCACGCGAGCTGGCCTCGTTGCATGGGCCTCCAGTCATACTATGTAGATCTTCTAGTCTGAGTCTGAGCTGAAGTGACACTACTTGACAGTCATGTCAGTGATGGTGATTGTTGCCAGACTCAGATGCCGAGAGATGGTCTAGTCAGTCAGTACATGTATACAGTACACGTACACATAATTACAGGTTCCCGTATGTCACATGACTGTCGCCTTGGAGTCGACCAATGACAGATCAAATTACGCGGGCTGGAAAGCGCGATCCTGCCTGATGAATGGTGATGGAACTAGTCCACTGCCCGTCGTCAAGTGACAACGGGCAGTGGACGGAATCCACTGCCCGTCGTCACTTGACGACGGGCAGTGGACAGAATCCACTGCCCGTCGTAACAGAATCCACTCATGAGTCTACCATTTCAATGACAAGCTTCTGTGGTCTGAAAGTACATGCAAAAGTCGTGTACTGTAGTCCGTGTCCGGTTGTCGAAGTCACTCTCACTCAGCTCACACTGACACAGCCTCATACAGGACTCGAGTCAAGTCACAGAATGCATTGTTCATGTAAACTCAAACGTCAAAGATTGTGAGTGATCTCCTTTTGGGTGCATACGGGAAACACGTTCCAGTCACTCATACTCGGTCAGTACCGCTGCTCATCCAGCCCTTGCCGCTATCGCGGCGCGGGCTGGATTCCGCGGTACTGCCCTCATACTCGTGCAGGAACCTGTACTTCCTGCACGAGTATGAGGGCAGTACCGCGGAATCCTGCCCGCGCCGCGATAGCGGCAAGGGCTGGATGAGCAGCGGTGCTGACCGAGTATGAGTGACTGGAACGTGTTTCCCGTATGCACCCAAGCCAAGGAGATATCACTCACAATCTTTGACGTTTGAGTTTACATGAACCATTCTGTGACTTGACTCGAGTCCTGTATGGCTGTATGAGGCTGTGTCAGTGTGAGCTGAGTGAGAGTGACTTCGACAACCGGACACGGACTACAGACTCAGTACACGACTTTTGCATGTACATGTACTTTCAGACCACAGAAGCTTGTCATTGAAATGGTAGACTCATGAGTGGATTCTGTCCACTGCCCGTCGTCAAGTGACGACGGGCAGTGGATTCTGTCCACTGCCCGTCGTCAAGTGACGACGGGCAGTGGATTCCGTCCACTGCCCGTCGTCACTTGACGACGGGCAGTGGAACTAGTTCCATCACCATTCATCAGGCAGGATCGCGCTTTCCAGCCCGCGTAATTTGATCTGTCATTGGTCGACTCCAAGGCGACAGTCATGTGACATACGGGAAATAATAATCTACGACACTCGAACCTGACAATACTGTCAATAGTGACATGATCTGATGATGCGACGGAACATACAAGACACTCAAGATCGGAGGCCAGCTAGCTCGCGTGCACTGCACCACGCGGCCAAGTGAAAGGTCGATCCTAGCGCCAGTACTGCAGTAGATCTACTACCGGCACTGGCGGCAGTATCCGCAGTAGCGCTATCATAGGCCTATTTCGTAGGCTAGGTAACGTTTTTGCCTTTTGCCTGGGCCGGCTAGCTAAGCTAGGCGCTAGGCCCTGTGTTTGGAGGCCATGCGCCAAGATTCTACTACTAGTACAGTAAATATCGGATATAACGTGCCCCTTTGATTTTCGAAAATGTATCACTATATCCGGTGCATCACTATAGCCGATTTGCATGTTTGACCGACACATGGCACATGACTGCACATGAAATGATGCGTACACGCTGGAAAAAGCATGCTGAAAGTGCATGCATGCTCCGCGGACTGTGTACCGGTGCATGACACAGAGCAGTGCATGGCAGTGCAGTACGAGTACAGACTGTTACTTCGATACATCATGTGGCATGGCTGCTTCTTCAGCGTGTTCTCCAAAAAAAGCCTGAGCTGGATCCGTGCTCACGTAGATCGTAGATCTACTCGGTGTCCAACGAGTTGCGTAGAGCCAGAAATAGACATGAGTGGCTGTGTACGTGAGTTGGCAACATCATCGTGAGAGGCAACACAGCCAGAAACGGACAAGAGCATGCAGAAAGATCACTCTTGATCATTATAATCAATATTTTCCTGTACATTTGATATGGTTTGCTTCCTGAAGGCCATCACAATAAGCGATATATCGGTATAGCCGATAATAGTGTATATAGTGATATTTTAGCTGTATTTTTTCAGATTTGATTTTGATTTTGACGTGTTCTATCACTATAACCGGTATATCATTATATCCGGTCACTTTATAAACGATACTTACTGTACTAGAACTACGCGTGCAGATCTACGTAGATCTACGTACTGTCGTGGACATGGAAATCCGGTCGCACGTAGATCTACGTCTAGCGGCCCCATGCGCTGGCATGGCCATGCAGCTGTACACACCATGCATTTATGCGCTGCAGCGCGCGCGCTGGTCGCGCATCGAATCAAAATGTGCACAGCATGCACGCATAGTTATACCGTACTGGCAATATATGTTGCCGCGTAACGCGTAACGCAGGGGGGTGCGGCGTAACGCGCGACCAGGCTACATGTAGTGCGACAAATTTTCGTTGAGTTCGTAACGCGCGTCCGGCGGGGTGCGGCGATCTTTTCATTGCAGTTTGCACTGCAAAAAAAGGCTGAAAACTGTGAAAGCACGTGTACCGCGTGGTGAAAAGTTCAAAACTGGACGCAGCAGGCCAGGAAGTCCTGACACTCGAAGGCGCATCATTCAGTGGTTGGCGATCTCAATGGTTTCTTCTTTCCCGAGGTCGTTTTGCGAAGAAGAGCGATGTGTTTACCAGTTTCCTTGTGACAATGCAGAAGTCTCTATTCGCCTTCGGCGTGAAGAAAATCACGCCCAAGCATCATTCAGTGGTTGGCGATCTCAATGGTTTCTTCTTTCCCGAGGTCGTTTTGCGAAGAAGAGCGATGTGTTTACCAGTTTCCTTGTGACAATGCAGAAGTCTCTATGATATCGTTGTCGCCCTTTGCCGTCGGGTTTGTAACAGTTGGATAGCAACTGAATTTCTGTGCCTTCAATGTGGATGAAAAGAAAACAATAATGCGGCAAAAGCAAAAAAAATGATGCGGCAATAGCAAAAAAGTGATGCGGCAATAGCAAAAAAAGGACTGCGGCAATATAGAAACCTGTGTAACGGCTCCTGTGCGACTTTGCATGTAACGCCCTGCGCGCGGCAAACGTGCCAATGTAACGCTTCATGGCCTCACTGCGGCAACATATATTGCCAGTACGGTACTTATACTTATAGTCAGGGAGTCGTACATGTACTACTAAAGCCCGGGAGAGGACACGGGATGCGCACACGTACACGCGGGCGATGTTTGCCTCGGCCAGAAAGTGAAGCACGCTAGGCCGGCGCGGCCGGATCTGCTCGATCCACGGCGCTGTGCTCGTCTTGAGGGCAGGGAGTACTAAAATACCAATA